TATATACACACACACATATATATATATATATATATATATATATATATATGCAACCAATATTTCAAAGTGAAGCTGAGAAACATGATTGGGGACACGGGAACTTGTCTGTCAAGTGCTTCATTTAAAAATTTATTTAATTAATTACTAATCCTTATGAATTTGTGCTAATGGGATACATAAATTCATAAAAAACATATGGCATTAAAGTTGATTACCATTTAATGTAAAACATGCAGTGTTGTCTCACTAGGACATAAAATCTACCAAACTGTAGGAATAACCCATTTGCTCATTTCCAAATCAAAACACAAACAGGAACAGTAACAATTAAAAATGATCATTGAAATTACAATTTCAATAGCACACTAGGTGGCTATTTTCTTGACACTTGATATTTTCATTTTGTCATGGCTATTTGAGATAAGTGAGTGTGCGTGCATGGTGGAAAACTGATAAACCCCACATTATTTGGCACCCTCTAAAACTCCAAAACTAAAGTTTAAAAGTTTTTAAAGTCATAACACATCAGCATTCCAAATTTAGCCAGAATTTCAAAGGACAATTCTTTAGGACTCTAAGATAAAGCTGAAAAACTGATATATATAGCTATATCTAGCCATGACACCGCATTGAGAATCATTAATTCAAGCATAGACAGTTCACTCAAGGCCGCATTTACTGTCAGTCTACAGGGACTAAACAGGGATAATTGCAGTCCTAACTCAAACGGGGAAGACAATATAGCCTGCGTGTTTATCTATGTATTGTTTGCATCTTTAGATGTGCGTGCATATCCATCTCATATTTGTATTCACTTACACATAAACCAATTGGAAGAAGTGTATAGGGACATAGTAATTTGCCCAAAATGAAAATTCTGTAATTTACTCATTGACATTCCATGATGTCAATGATGTCATTCCAAACCTGTATGACTTTCTTTTTGTGTAACACAAATGGAGATGTTTATCAGAATGTTCACGTTGCTCTTTTCCATAAAAAGTGAATGGTGACCACGATCACGATCATTTGGTCTCCAATCATTTAGGCCGCTTAAACTCTTACAATTGACCACAAGCTCACATTCATCTGCTTCGACTTTTAAACGCAATGCTCACATCTTAAAATCCAACCAACAACTGATGGATAGAACCAGCTCTACGTTTTTTCTTTTTTATGTCACTACTTCTCTTCTTAAATAATTTTTCACTGAAAATCTTTTGTCCGTGTGTGTGTGTGTTCCATATGAGTCATACAAATTTAGACTAACATGGTGAATAAACAATGACAAAAATTTTGTTTCAGATGTACTACTCCTTCAAAGATTCATTAATCCATCCAGATCTGAGAAAACAATACAGTAATTATTCACAGAAGCATTTGAGGTCACTGGAACAACAAAAATGAGATCTACAGCTGAAATCTACAGCTTCTACAGCTCAGTTCACAATGAGACCATATGAGGTGCATGACACTCTGTGCCCTACATCAGTGACTTATGGTCCAATTAGCATCTTCAGGCCTTGACAGGGATGGATTCTTGGGAAAGTACAAAAATATACGGCCCAGGTGAAAGTGTAGACCATGTCCCCAGAGCATAATGATGATATACAGCCCACGATGGGAAAAAGATGTCAGCCCATCATTGGGTCACTTTCATTCAAAACACTCTTTGGAAACACAACTTGAAAAGCTAGCTCACGTTACTGCTCACATACAGTTCTGCATACAGTAGGCAGGTGCCTTCTAAGGTATCATCCTGCTCATCTGCCAATACACAGTTGATTCCCATGGATTTTAATTTAACATGTTGCTAACCTAATAGACACTCTAATAATTGCAAACAATACAATAAAACTTTTGCTTGCTTAAACACTGTAATATTTTATTGATACTTTTTAGTATAAAATGAAATGCAAGTATATTTATAATTAATAATTTTCCAAATTCTGTCCACCATCTTGGATTTTTCACTGAGCTCATCACAATGCATTTTGATTACCTTATCTACAAAGAATTCATGCAATGCCACCCAAAATGATATATCTAAACATTTTTGCACCTAGGATGCCTTAAAATACTATCTAGATATGCAGCACACAAGGTTTTAGAGCAGAGCTACAGAAATAAACTGTCTTGGGCAGTTTCCATCACAGGAAGCAGATCCTAATTAGGCTACGTCCACACGAAGCCAGAGCTTTCCCTATCCGATCTTTTTTTTCCCCTCGTCTCAAGAAATATCTGCGTCCACACGAAACCACAAAACCGACACAAAACGATGTAGTATACATGCCAGACCAGTATGTGACGCTGTAATTCTGCCACAGAGATACACTAAAAATGGAGAAGACGACTTGGACTATGTGCATAAACGCGCGCGGTATACAAACGAACATGGAACAATACATTTATTAATCTGTGTTAATATTAGTTAATAAAAAGACAATCGTTCAGTGTTTGTTCATGTTTTTGTTGCTGTCACGTGACGTAGCGGTGTCTGACTAGGGGCGAGTCGTGGGCTGATGACGTCATCGTTTCAGAAAATATATGGATTCGCTGTCCACATGAAAACGCAAGGGCACCGTTTTCAGATTTATCCACTCTGCAACCCAGTTAAAAAAAAATATTGGTTTCACTCTCCCAAAACCCTGGATCTGTGTGGACGAAACGCCTATACGATACAAAATGTATGGGTTTACAGCTAAACGCGTCTCCGTGTGGATGGGGCCTTAGTCTTTTGCAGCTGCAACTGTTATTTAGTAAAGAACAGTTATTTATTAAAGAGTTATTTTCTCTTTGTCTTTTGTTTGATTAACATTAATAACATACCACAGCAGGTTTATTTATGCTGCTGTCACTTTAAGAAGAATGAATTCAATATATTGATCCACATCGGTTTTCTCCTAATTGTTTACATTCATTTGAGACATAACCGACTGTGTTTATGTGAATACTAAGCAAGATTGGTATTTTACATATCTATGTGTTTATTTGAATATTCAAACGCCTCGTAACAACACATTTCTGTACTTGAATGCTGACAGGCGTCAGCGCGCGCACAGAGATCCGTTGCGTGAGTGTAGAACTCAGTTTTCTTTCCGTCATATTGCACTTTTAAAGTATCTATCAAGCACGTCCCGTTCTTTAATCTCCAATTCACAGACGATAACAAAATGTATATTGACACTTTATATTCGACAAAGCACATGCCATAATCCGAATTTGACTTTAATATCATATAATCAAGTTCCTTAACATTAAACTCAAACTTATATGTATAAATACTCACCAGTTGTATTGTTCATCAGCCGAGGTCTTCCACAAAACAAGATGGTAGTTGATCAGAAAATTCTCAAGCCAAACCCTGGTGACGTCAGTGGTCACATGGCTTGCACAGCACTCAAACAAATCATGTAACGTTAACTAGGGATATTTGAGTAACTAGGACTTTTAGCACAAATAGTAAGATTTAATGGATCTTTATCAGTAAGGTAAACAAATATATATATATATATATATATATATATATATATATATATATATATATATATATATATACATACACACACAAATACACATACATAAATGTATATGCAATGTTAATAACCTGTTAAAGGGGTCATGAACTGAGACATCAAAATCCCCTTGATCTTTTGACATTAAGAAGTCATTGTACTATAAAAACATCCTGTAAGTTTCAGAACTCAAAACTTTATCGTTAGTCTAAAACAGCTTATATTACAGCCAAAAAAATAAGTGGACCTCAGAGAACAGTACAAAATAATAAAGGCAGTTTATGACCCCTTTAAGTGCCTGAGTATCACACAATCTTGAATAACCATGTTTTGAATATATATATATATATATATATATATATATAAATCAGAACTATACAACTATTCAAAAGTTACAGAGGTCAAGTGGTGCCGCTTAAATGAATGACCCACAGCTATTCCTGAATGAAGAATGGTTCTCAAGGTTAGAAATAAAGTTTAAGTATCAGATTCTACAGAGCTGCTCAAACTTCCTGGTTCTCTTGTTTTTGTTTCCAAAATGTTTAGTTTTGCTAAACTGCAATAACAGAAATATCTGTAAACTTTGGTGAAATCTGACCCTGAAATCGGTAGATCTGACCCTAAAGAGACGTGCTGACGCATTTAAAATTCAATGCAGTCCACTAATGGAGTCAGCAAAAGTGTGATATAAAGAGATTTTGTTCAGAAACTTCTTGTTCAGACAACTTCAGAGTCATGTAACCGCAACAGGAAGGATTCTTTTGAAATAAAGACAAATGCACCCTCTCGGTTTTGTTTTGATGGGAGCCTGTACAGCAAACGTTGAGCAGTATAGCATTGAACGATTAACAACAGAGCTCACCTGTGGCCGCCCACTCAGCAGCCTTGGCTCTGTAAGTATTTTTCCGTCCTTTTTCTCCAAAGTCATTCAAAAAACTTTTACATAGTTTACAAAAAAAAATAAAAAATAGCCATGACGTAAACCAACCAAAATTAAAAGCTTTGATTTGAAGCAAAATAGTGTGTGCTGACGCATTTAAAATTCAATGCAGTCCACTAATGGAGTCAGCAAAAGTGTGATATAAAGAGATTTTGTTCAGAAACTTCTTGTTCAGACAACTTCAGAGTCATGTAACCGCAACAGGAAGGATTCTTTTGAAATAAAGACAAATGCACCCTCTCGGTTTTGTTTTGATGGGAGCCTGTACAGCAAACGTTGAGCAGTATAGCATTGAACGATTAACAACAGAGCTCACCTGTGGCCGCCCACTCAGCAGCCTTGGCTCTGTAAGTATTTTTCCGTCCTTTTTCTCCAAAGTCATTCAAAAAACTTTTACATAGTTTACAAAAAAAAAAAATAAATAGCCATGACGTAAACCAACCAAAATTAAAAGCTTTGATTTGAAGCAAAATAGTGATGTTTTTTATGACTGAATTAACTATCCCATGAAGCATTACTTGAAAAACCAAGTTGAACATAACCACCGACTTAAATTGATTATGCAATAATATATAGTATTGTTACACTGAGATGTATGTTGTGTCTACGTGTCTCTCAATCTCTCTCTCTGCCACTCTCTCAGGTTGCCCCGCCCTAATTGAACGTGTCGGTACGTGTCCCATGGTTGGCCGAGGTGGAACTCCGCGTCTTTTAAAAAGGCAGAGACGCTGATGAGGATGTGAGACGTTGTTGATGGTGCTGTTGATAAAGTCAAGTCACTTTTATTTGTATAGCGCTTTATACAATACTGGTTGTGTCAAAGCAGCTTTAAAGAGTCAAACAGGAAAATAGTTTGTCAATGATGCAAGAAGACAATAACAGAGTAATTTTTCAGCTAAAGTCAGTTCATTGACGATTCAGTGATGTCATCATCCAGTTCAGCTTTCTTTCAACAGTGTCTGTGCAATCAGTCAAGCGTCCCCAACTAAGCAAGCCAAAGACCACAGGTGCAAGGAACCAAAACTCCATCGGTGACAGAAATAGAGAAAAAACCTTGGGAGAAACCAAGCTCAGTCAGGGGGCCAGTTCTCCTCTGCCAGACGAAACCAGCACGGCGTGGTTATTAAAATTATTGTGAGTGATAAGAAAGATAAATTACTATGTATAGTGCCTTTTTGTAAATATTGTATCTATTTTCTTATTCACCTTACCTACCCAGTGTTTTTCTTTTGTAAAGTTTTCTGCAGAAATTTTTCTTTGAGTGTTTCACCAGTTAAATATCACTTTACATCAGCACAGAAGCTGTAGGAGTTGGGTGCCACTTTTTTGTGAACTATTCATTTTCTCCTGTTTTTAGATAGTCAGGGAGTCAGTTCAGTCCATGTATTTTTTTAGACTTTTCTTTTTAGGGTAGTAAGTTTCTTCAGGAAAAAGGTAGATTCAGTTTTGTTTATTAATATGGTTTTGGCCCAACCCTGAAGCCCATTCGCTTCCTTTTTGTGTGCTGATTTTTGCTATTGAACATAACCAGTAAAGAAAAAAGTAATAAAGAAAGAAAGAAAGAATACAAGCAGTCTGGTGTAAAGACCTTTATTTATGTTATTGTCCTGAACCTGGGACGAAACAGTATAGTATAGATCAGTAGTTCTCAAACCTGTCCTGGAGTACCCCCAGCCCTGCACATTTTGTGTCTCCATCTATCACACCTGATTCAACTCATCAGCTCATGAGTGGAGACTGCAAGACCTGGGGCCTCATTTATAAAATGTGTGTACGCACAGATTTGATCTTAGAGTGTGCGTACGCTAAAATCCACGGCAATGTTCATATTTATAAAAAACGGTCTTTGGCGTGGAAAAGTACTTACGGCCACGTCAGGGTCTGAGCAGGCGTACACATTTTCCTTGTGGCAAAGTCGGAGTACTGCAGCTATTTGAACATCTAAGCTGCAATAATAATAAAAGCGGTGTACGTGCAAGCACTGAATTCATCAAACAACAAAGATGCAGTGTAAGAGATTAATTGTGCAGTGTAGTCAGATTTTTTATTAAAGGGGTCATATAATGCTACATGCACTTTTACAAGTAGTTTGAACTGAAATGTGTGTTGGCAGAGTGTGTACACACAACCACCCTAAAATGATAAAAATCCAGTTTTTTTGTTAATCTACTAAAATCTTTACCCCTTTCTCAAATCGAGGCGATCTCAGATGCCTGTCTGTGTGACGTCACATAGGCAGGCCCCTCCCACGATAGTTTGATTGACAGTAGCGTTTCAGCAGAGACTGGGTTGGTGTCTTAACTTAGACCCGCCCTGAGTGAGCTGCCATCAGTCTGCCATTGTTTCACCGCCGGAGCAGATGTAGACAAGAATGACTCCTAAGCGATTGAGGTCTTCTGTTCTTGGATGTAATAATGAACATACCAGTCGTCGTTTACTCCCGACATCTGAGCCGCTGAAGACGCAGTGGATTATGTTTGTTTTTGAGGGGAATGCGCCCCTGTAGGATATCAGACCGAATCAGACAATCTAAGATTTGGTCAAAACCGATTTGAATATAACTATCCATTGCAGAATTGATGTCATACGGCTCGTTCACTGACTCGCTGGCCGTCTCAGTGATCAACCGTAAAACAGTGATTCGGTCCTAATTCCCTTACATATTATTGGTGGAGTTCCCTTTAAAATCTTAAATGATTCCCTTTGAGCTAAATTGACCTGTTTCCCTTACAATTAAGACCCTAAAGAATCATATCAACTTGTGGAAAATGGGCATTCTATGACCCCTTTAACGGTAGTTTTTGCGAGATTAAACTGACATAGTAGCCTAATGTTGAGAGTTCTTTACTCACTTTCTGTACACAGTTTATTCCATGTTGTTTTGTATTATTTTATTTTACAAGAGAACTTGCGAAATCTTGATTTAATACTAATGCGTAAAATAGAAAAAAATGCATAAACGCATCTCTGACTGTTTTGTCTGTGTAGCCTATAAGAATGGGCCTATGTTGTGCAAAAACGTTTTTAATATATTCTATTCAATGACATTGTTAACCATTTTTTATTTATTACATCTGCTTTGCTTCTGTGAAAATGAGACATCAGCCTTAAACTTTGTTTTTGTCACTTACATCAGTTATATTTGTATAAAATACACTACCTATTTTTGTGTCAGTACATCAATGGCACATTTGAGCAGCATTAGTAAACTGTGTAAATATAAAGAAATGCCAAATCACATGCAGGTTTTTTTCAGACCGAGACCATAATAGAGTAATAATTAATTTTATTATGATATGAAACATTCAATTTTTCTTTCAATAATGTTTTTTTTTGTGTTAAGTTTAATGTTGTTTTTCAAAAATTTCGTGATACTAAACTTTTTATTAGTTGTCATACCGAGTTTATTATTATTATGGTTATGATTATTATTATATCATTATTTCTGTTGTTTTTAAAAGTAGTAATTTTGATAAGTCAAAAGAAAAAAATATATAACCACACACACATTGTTTGTTCACAGAATAATTACACATTATTAAATAAAAAGCATCCCTGCACGAACCTCTCGGCCAGCAGGATCTCAATTTCAGACTTTTTTTTTTCTTTCTTTGTGCTCATCATTCTCAAGCATAGAAATTCGGATTTTGGCGTGTGCTCTTTTGTATGGTAATGATATTAATTAGGGGACGTTTACAAGGCGGAGATCTGACACCAGTCAGCTGCGACCAATTTCAAGATAATTTGTGATTTATAAATGTCACATCTGGAAGAGAGGCGTACGCACGTATTTTTGTGCGCACGTTCGTTTTCTCTGAATCGCACTTACGCACTTTTTAGAAATTATCTTAGAACAAATTTAGGATGGTTTATACGCAAAATTGTATAAATGAAGCCCCTGAAGTGGGTGTGTCTGAT